TTGATCTTTATTACTATAGTGTGAAGAAGGTATTAAAATATTAAAACAGGGAAGAGCTGAAGCTTGTAGAATGGAGGCAAATTATCAAAAATCATATAGTTGATTAAGTGACAGATTCATGTCTCAAACCTAGATTTCTGTAACTGATTATCTAACCTAGGCTTTTAACTATGTGTGGCAGCCATGAAACTGAATAGAAAGATTTAGCTGAAACAATTCTGTGTATCTCTACTTTAAAAATAAATGATTTCCAGTATCTGAAGAACAAGTCTATCTCAGCATAATATTGCCCCATCTATGTCCTTATTCTTTTTCACATACGACCCAATATTTCTTGCCATTATCATTTACATGTTCCCAGTTAAGCTATTCTATTCATTATCACCTATCATGCAACTCTTCCTTCATGGGGTATCTGACTTATAAACAATGACTAATACAGGTAAAAATAATAAGAGGCAGATAACAAGTGTCTTTTATATCTATCAACAAATTACATTTGATATTTAAATAAATAGCTTTTTTTTTTTTTTTTAGCTGAGCCATCCTGCTACCTATTGGCAGCTTAGTGGCTGCTCAGCTCAGGCTGGCATATAAATAGCTTTTTTTGAAATGATACCTGAAACTACTATTTAAACTTCTAAACATGCAAAATAATAAGATTATTAAGTGTTTAAAAGAAATGGTATATTCTTAAATTTAGTGAAAGGCAAAGCTGTAAAACATAAAGTTACTTGAGTTTTAATAAATGTAAAATACTTTCTGGCCCCCACGCAATCATTATAGAAAATCTGTTCACCACCCTATTTAGTTTCCAGTAGAGTCCATTCTGCCTTCCCATTTTGAAGGAAAAATTTTACTTCTATTACACAATGTAGTTTTTCTTGGCCTTGAACTTCATCAAAATTGAATTGTGGAGAATTTTGTTCAGTTTGGGTCTTCTGACAAGCAGACCTTCATATGTATTTAGACATACAAGAGATTTATTGGGAAAACACTTATGAAGAATAAAAAGGGCAGAGATAGGAATTGAAAAGAAAAGTCTTTAGTCTGTGATACAGGTCTGTTACCTGAAAGATAGAAGAGAAAGGAGAAGGATTAGGTAGGAATTGCCTTAGACTGCAATGTAATTCTGAGAATGTTCTGGCCAGACTTATAGAGAAAACTACAGCAAAGATTGCCTATTAAGAAAAATGTCCTCTTACTGCTGTACATTCTGTGTTGTACAAATTTACAACAATATGCATACAGTGCCATACAGAGTAGTTTCACTTCCCTAAAAATTCACTGTGCTCAAAATATTTATTTTTCCCTCTCCCCTAATATTTGGTAACTAATGAACATTTTACTGTCTCCATAGTTTTGCCTTTCCCAGAATGTCTGTAGTTGGAATTACAGTTTGAAGCCTATTCAGACTGGCTTCTTTTACATAGCAACATGTATTTAAGTTTCCTCCATATCTTTTCATAGCTTGATAGTTCCTTTCTTTTTAGTGCTGAATAATATTCCATTGTCTGGATATACAAGTTTATTTATCCATACATCATTATCCAGTCAAATAAAGGACATTTGACTGCTTCCCAGTTTTGGCAATTATGAATAAAGCAGTTATAAAATCCATGAGCAGGTTTTTCTGCAGACATAGTTTTGAACTTCTTTGGGTAAATACAACAGGTCCTCAAATAATGTCATTTTGTTCAATGTCTTTTTGTTATAACACTGATGTGGTGCTGTAGGAATGTAACTCTTTAATCTATTAATTAGCCTTTGGTAAAATTGGTTTTGTCATTTTGCTTAGCGGTGCAGAACTTATTGATGGTGTTAAGTGAGTACTTACTGTACCAAGGAGTGTGAATATTGGATCATTTGGTAACAGTATGTTTAGTTTTGTAATAAACTGCCAAACTGTCTTCCAAGTGGCATTCCCATCAAGAACGAATGAGAGTTCCTGTTGGTTCATATCCTCACCAGTATGTGATATTTTCAGTGTTCTGGATTATGACCATTCTAATAGATGTGAAATTTGCATTTCCCCCATGATATATAATGTAGAGTATCTTTTCATATGCTTAATTGACACTTGCATATCTTCTTTGGTGAGGGGTTTAACATCATGGTTTTTGTTTTATTTTGTTGGGGTTTTTTTAAATTTTATTTTATTCTGTGGCTTTTGCTCAGGCTTGTTTTCCCAGTGAAAGCCACTCTCCATGAACTTTTTTCTTAGTAGTAAAAATCCACAAAATTATTGTAAAGCCTTCCTTCATGTGAAAACTCAGCTCTTCAAAACTTGCCTAAGCTCCGTTTTTTTTTTTTACAATAGCAACAATGAGTCAATATTTCTTTTGTTAAACAATAGATACACATGATTAGGAATAACAACACATATCTGATTGAAAATTTAGTTTATTTTTCTGTAAGATTTAGATCTAAGTCTCAGAGAGTACTTCTTTCTTAGCTGAAACAAAAACAAAACAGTAGAATTTTATCACTTCCTTGTTCAGAATATATTTTATGGGAATTGTTTTATTTTTCTTCCACATTATGCTTGTGTTTGTATTGCAGATACAATCATTATTATGTCATATTTCTCCTTCAACATATTCTTATATAAGTTCATGTTCCTCTGTTTTTGTTTGTTTGTTTTTCATTTTACAAAAGTTTAAGATATGCAAGACACGATTTATCCCAGGTTATAAGAAGTTTGCAATGTATTTGCATGCCATTAATTCTGTAAGGAAAGTTGTTACTACTGCTGTTATCAAACCTAATACAACTCATTAAACGTTAGCTCTTATGCTTTTAAGAAAAGGTGCTGTAAAGTACACTTATTGAAAATATAATTGTGATATTAACTAAAAGAATAGCAAAAGCCTATTCCTTTAGGGAAGTTTAGTGGTGAAAGCACATCCTCATTTGAGGAATGACCACTCCACTAGAGAACTGTGGTAGCAGAAGGTGGTTCTTCACATCAATGGGCTAGTTCTCCCAGCCATCCCAATCAGAGTGAGCTGACTACTGAATTTGGTGAAAAAGAGTGAAAGAGGTAGCCTTAGTCCTCATCTCACATAACAAGAAGATCTATGAGTGCTCAGTTTCAACAAAGTCAAAATATAAACATAATATATAAATATGAAAAATAATTAGAAATTTTAGGGAACTGACAATAATTTACAGAGAAAGGTCATTCTAGTGAGAAGGATGGTGCTAGGCAAAAAAAAATTGAAATAATGAATTTATCTGGTGATAGCAAGGATATCCACAATTCATATTTCTGAGACAGTCATGGTTGCAGCATTTGAACAGAACATGGACCTAATATAGAGTGAATAAATACTTGAAAGGAGCAAGGTCAGTGGCAGTGGAGAGGAGGGCCAAGTCTCTAATAGAAGAATAAAATGAAGGTAAGGAGGGAGCAAATCCTGCGATAGATGGAAGGACCATGAGACAACAAACTGGCAAATTTTAAATCAGAATTAGACAAAGTATGTTTAAAATTTACTTCTTTATTCAATAAGGATTTACTAAGCACTTATTATATATTACTTTCACACACAAATGTACACAAAATGTGCTATGTTTATAAACTTCTTCATATATATGTACATGTACAGGCTTTTTATCAGTCTTCTCAAAGAACTAGCTTTTGGTTTTATTGATGATCTCTACTAATTTTGTGTTTTCTACTTTATCAAATTCTATAGTTTATTATTTTCTTCCTTCCTTTCTCTCTCTCTCTCTCTCTCTCTCTCTCTCTCTCTCTCTCTCTCTCCCACTCTGCTTTAATTTGGACTTCATTTGCTTTTCTTTAAATTTTTGATTGGTTATGGTATAAGATGAAGTTACCAATTCAAGATGTTTCTTATCCACTCATATAGGTGTTAATTGTTGTAAATTTCTACCCAGATAATCATTTAGCTGCATGATACAAATTTTGATACTAGTGTTATTTTCATTTAATTCAAATACTTATATTTTTATTTCATCTTTGACTCATGACCTATTTTTGTGTGTCATTTAGCTTCAAAATATGTGTGAATTTTATATTTGATTCCTTTTGAATTTATTAAAACTTGTTTTATTGGCCACATTGGTTCTTTTTGGTAAATGTTTCATTTGTGCTTAAAAATAATACATATTCTACTATAGTTGATTGTGCTTTTCTATAACGTCACCTTCAAGTTTGTGGAATATAAGTTTCATGTGTTCTATATTCTTACCAACTTTCTGTCTTCTACCAATTATTGAGAGATGAGTATTGAAAACTAACTATAACTTTGGATTTATATATTTCTACTTGAAATTCTATCAGTGTTTGCTTGACATAATTTGAGGGTCTGTTGTGTGCATACTATTTAGATCCTCTGGATGAATTGACCCATTAATCAATAGTCCATGATACCTTTTATCCCAGATCCTATTTTTTCTCTGAAATGAAACTTGTTTGGTATTAAGATAGCCTCTTCAGCTTTCTTTTGATCAACATCACTGTTATTATTACCAGTACGTTGTTATCTATCCTTTTACTTCAAGCCCTTTGTTTCTTTTAAGGATAGGTGCATCTTGCTTCTGTATCCATCTAACAATCTATAACTTTTATTTTGGTTGTTTAGACAATTTAGATTCTATATGATATTTGATAAAAATTTTAAAAATAGTATTTTTTGTGACCCTTGTATGTACCATCTAATGTTCTTCCTTTTGTTTGTGGATTTCTATCTGTTACCATTTTCTTTCTGCCTGAAGGATTTTCCTTCCTGTTTTTCATATTATGGGATGACTGGTGATAAATGATTTCATCATTTGTATGTCTGTAAAAGTATGGGTATATGACTCTAAATTGATATTTTTGTGTGTTATTTTTGTTTCTCCCTTTCGGTTGCTTAGACATATTGCTACAGTGTCTTCTTGCTTTTATTGTTTCTCGGAGGAGTATATTTCATTTTTCTTTTTCCTCTATGTGTCATGTGTCTTTTTTTTTTAATTCTGGCTGCTTTTACATTTTCATCTTTATTGTTAGTTATAAGCAGTCGATTAAGATGTGCTTTGCTTTTGTTTATGGCATATTTCATTGAGCTCATGGATCTGTAGATTTATAGATTTTACCAAATATGGAAAATATAGCCATTATTTTCTTTAGTATAGTTTCTGCTGCTCCTCCATCCCTAACCTTATTCTGGGGCTCTAATATCTGTACCTTAGGCTTTTGTCTAATAGTTTGTTAACCCTCTGTTTATTTTTTTAGTCTTTTTTCTCTCAATTTTAATTTTGTATAGTTTTTATTGTTACATTTTTATATTTACCAACCTTTTGTTCTGAAATATCTAACATATAATTAAGTGTATTATATTTGTACTTTTCATGTCAAACAATGTATTTTTATCTCTAAAGTATGGTTTAGACCTTTTAAATATATTCATGTATCTACTTAACACAATTTAATCTTCCTCAGGTTTCTTGGTCATATAGAATAAAGCTATTTTAACTGTTTTAATGTCTTTGTATATTAATTTTGCTGTCTGTGTTATTTCTGGGTCAATTTCAATCGGCTTGGGGGAGAACTTGTTATTAAGCTTTGTTATATGAGATCAGAGTAATATTTACTCAGGACAACTTTACCTCATGTCCAGATAAACAACATGGGGATTATTCTACTGGGTAGCTCGTGATTCAAGAGTATCTTCATCTGGCTGGAGGGATCAATAACTATTCTCAGCTTGAGTGAGCTCTAGATATTATTTAATCTTTGCAGATAGTTCTGTTTTCTGCCTTAGTAATTTCTTTATATACCAGAGGTGTCAACAAAATGTATACAAGTGGACACTTTGGTCAACATTGCTCAAGCAGTAGTTCGCTGTGATCAGAAGTGTCTGGTTGCTGATGGTAACCACTTTGAGCACCTCTTGTAATTGCAGAAGTCAAATGTGACTTGTATTCATCTTCTTTTTATCAGTATATATTGAGTATTACAACTTTAATACAGTTTACCTTGCTTAAAAAGTGTATACAGTTTTTTTGGCACCCTCTGAATATGCACTGATGAGTAAACTGGAATCAAGAGGGAGGACCCTTT